GCGCATGCCTGTAATTCCAGCTACTTGGAAGGCTGAGGCAGAAGGATTGCCGGAGCCCAGGAGGTCGAGGCTGTGGTGGCCGGGAGAAGTTGACTGATATGTTGACTAGTCAGCCGGATGTTCTGAATCAGGAGGGTGAGGTATACAATTCTGCACCCCCAGGCCTCCCCTCTCCCTGGGGCACTCAGAAGCCATGGCAGGTCAGATGCGTGTCCCTGGGGAGGAACAGGCTCAGCAAGGCATAGCCAGGACTGGCAAACACTCTCCCCTGATCAGCCCAGGACTGGCCACTAACACAGAGGAGGGCTGGTCCCTGGGGCTTACCTGTTGAATCCCTCTCCTCAGATACGGCCACCTGCGGACGGGGGAGCCCTGGGCCACCTGCCTGCCAGCATCACACGCACCGGCCAACTCCTCACCCAAGCATACCTCTTCCATGAACTGCTCCTTGATTCCCCCAGCATCTCCTCCTTGGCTCTCTTGTTGCTATTTAATTTATGCGCCTTTCCTACAGTTCTTCTCTAATTCTACTCAGGCTAATTAATTGTGAACACAGTTCATTCTTCCCTAATAGATTATGAACTCCCGGGAGACAGAGACTATATTGAACTCAAGTCTGTGGTTTCCCTTTCCCCTCTCATGTCTGACCAGGGGTTTAGTTTTAAACATAGTGGGAGCACAATAAATAATTATCCTAATGGAATTTACCTTTGTTTCTTAAGAAAGAGGGTATCTGAGAAAACGGATCAAAAGATCTCTGTTCAAAGGACAGCCCCACTCCTCCTACCATCCTTTCACAAACCTTGCAGGACATGGTACCCCCTCCCTCCACCTGTGTCACCAGTCACTATAGCCAGACTCAGCCAGCACAGAGATATAAAGAAGGGAAAGCCACACTGACAAAGCCAAGGGTTCCAAGTGGTTACATAAGGAGGTAAAAATGACATACATAGACGCAAGGGTCCACTGCTATAACCTGTCACCAAGGAAAACCAAGGCAGAATTGTGTAGGGTCAGGGAAAGTGAGGAGACAAAGGAAGAAGAAATGGAGCTTCCTATAAGGAGCAGAAACACTAGGTGTGACGGCTGAGACCCCAGTGAGTCCCCATCTTGACTAGGGAGATGAGACACCAAGCATTCCTTGTACGGGATGGGATGCCAGACACTCCCAAGGTGAAAGGTCAATGCAGTCCCATTCCTCAAGGTCAGCAGGGATCTATGGCATCTGGGAGCCTGTGGAGGGAGGGGGGGAGGGAGGGAGAGGAAGAGGATAGCCATGAACTTCAAAGAGGGCCACAAGGGATGGGGCAGGTGGGAGAGTCCCTCTAGAAAGTGTTGATGGGAAAGCTGCACTCCTCTTACAAGGCGGGAGGGGGGCAGTCAAGGAGCGGGGAAACAGGTCCAATGTGAGATCTAGTGGATGCGGTGAAGAAGTCCACCCCATCCCCATACACACACTACCCCATATAACTCAAACTTTATGAGTCAAGCACATAGGGTTCAAATCAAGTTACCCTGGGTCAAGTTCAGGGAGGCAATGGGAGCGGGGGTTGGGCAAAAAAATTCCAAGAATCAGCTCTCAGCCAGCAGGGGGAGGAGAAGCCATTTCTACTAGAGATTTAAGATATTCTCTCTCTGTCACATGTGTGCGCGCGCACACATACACACACACACACACACACACACAGAGAGAGAGAGAGAGAGAGAGATCTGTTATGAACCTGCTAAGTAAAAATCTAATTCCAGTTTAAGGATAAGAGGTTTCATCGAGAAAATCCTTCCCCAGGCAGTGCGGAGAGGATGTTACCAGATCTCTGTCTCCTATCCAGTGATGATTTCCTTTTGGGACCACAGAAGAGGAGGAGGATGATACCTCTCTCCAGGCCAGGCAGGAAATCAGGGTGAGCAGTGAGGCCCCACACGCCTGCGCCCAGCTGTTCAGCCCCAGACACTCCTCTGCCCAGACTTTCTCCTACGTCTGACTTGGCCGCCGGCCACTCAGGAAGGACGCTGAGGATAGGGCCTGCCGGGCACCAGCTCCTGCACCTCCTGCCTCCCGGAGGCACTTGGGGCAGAGGCTGCCTGAGTTATTTCCCAAGAGGCCTGGCCTCCCCGACCCCGGCCACATGTCTCCATTGCTGCCACTCCAGGGCCCGCCCCAACACACATGCAAGTCCACTGTCCACCGTAGGGGGGTGTGAACCTCGGGATGGCGAGAGTGCCCTCCAACCCCTGTGGCCCCAAACGGTACCTGCCAAGGCCTTGATCCGGGACCTCTCGAAGAGCCTGGCTGAGCTGTTGTCATTGTCCAGCTCATCGTCTGGGGCATCCCAGCGGGCATTGATCCGGCTGTAGGGTGGCTGGTTGCCCACGTTTTCAAACTCTGTGGCGGATGTCATGTCAGCAGGCTCTCCTCAGCAGTGACGCCTGCCTCAGTCTTCATGGAGTGGGCCCTGGGGGATGGCAACACAGTCAGAGGGTTGGCTCCCCCGCCCCCTCGGGCTTGTTCTCAGGGGAAACTTATTCGGAGCATCCGACGACAGGGGTGGATCCTCAGGGGGGTGACTCTCCGTGTCATCCACCCAGACATGCGCCCCACTCGGGGTCCCTGGGTCGTTTGTCACAAAATATTGCAGCAGCAGCAGCGGCGACCACAGCAGCGGCGGCCACAGCAGCGGCGGTGGCGGGGACGGAGAGCTGCATGCAGCAGGGTCAGCACGGCCAGCAGGTGGAGACGTCAGTCACGGCAGCTGCTTCCTCCAGACCGGCCGCCGAGGGCGGCTCTCCCGGGCCAGGACTGGGGGGACCTCTGGGGCCAGCAGTCCCCACCCTGTGGACTGGGGCCAGAACCCGACCTGCCTGGGGAGGCGGGACAGGTCAGGACTAGGGTTTAGCTGGAGGTGGGCTGAGCCCGACAGAATGTGAACCTTGGGGGGGGAGATGGCAAGAGAGTTAAGCCGCAACTGATGCCCCCTGTCGGGGCAGGTGTCATGGGGGGAGTTTGCACCCCACCAAGGTTGCCTCTGAGTTCCTCCCAGCAGCCAGGATTCAGAAAGCTTTCACCTTCTTTGAAGCATGACCATGGGCTGGGACATGGTCCCCTGTTGAATCTCCGGACAGACCAGGCAGCCCAGAGGAGCCATAGGTCCCTGTAAGCATGACAGTGACAAGGGTGGTGCTAAAGGCACCCCCACGGAGTGGGCATCAGGAATCCAAGCGATGAATGTGCCCATCAGGAGTTCTAGGATCCTCACTTGCCCATCATCTAACATTTTTGCTCATTCATTCATTCATTCATTCACGATCACTTCAAATATGGATATGCGCAGCATATCTGAGTTAGACAGGAAGGCTGTGTTCTAAGAGAGCATGGACTCTGGCAGGGGACTCACGATTACACAAGCAACTACAAGAAGGTATGAGGTGTGCTCCAACTGGGTGAGGTGGGGACTCTGGGCTGGGGTGGGAAGGGGGATTTAAGCTGATTCCTAAGGGAAGCTTGGAGATATCACAAAGGGACAGGTGGAAAAGGGACAAGAGTCCTTTAAAAAGGGAGCAAAGAACAGGTGCAGAGCTTTGAAAGTGAGAGAGAACATGGCAGGCTTTAGGAGCCTTTTTCTTTTTTTTTGAGTCAGAGTCTCACTCCATCGCCTAGGCTGGAGTGCTGTGGCACATTCATGGCCACCCCAGCGTCGACCTGTTGGGCCCCTGCGATCCTTCCACCTCAGCCTTCCAAGTAGCTGGAACTACAGGTGCGCGCTACCACACCTGGTGAGTTTTTTATTTATTGTGGAGACGAGGTCTTGCCAAGTTACCTGGACTGGTCTTGAACCCACGGGCTCAGGCAATCCACTCGCCTCGGCCTCCCAAAGTGCTGGGATTACTGGCTGAGCCACCAAGCCTGGTAGGAATCTTAAGAAGTAACTGGGGGGTGAGAGTGGGGTTGGGGAGAGAAGTGAGGAGGAGGTCAGGCTCCGCCTTCAATGCCCTGGGCCTTTGGAAAATGACCCGCTCTCCTCATCTACACCTGCCGTTTAGTGTTCTCTCTCTGGTGAGCTCAAGGGACTCCAAGACCAAGTCTGTAAGAGAGAGCGGGGGGAGGGGCAGCACCTTCACATCCAAGAGGAGAAAAGGGGGTGGGGGAGGCTGTGAGGTTGACAAATGACAGGTGTCAACAGCCAGGGAACTGAGAGGGGGATCATCCCTCTGCCTCTGTGAACATGCACACGTGCGCAACATAAACACTTGGGCTCACACCCAACACGAAGACACACACCAGCATACACACCCAGCACACACACACACCCACGTGTCCAAGCAGGCATACGCTTGTGGAAGAAATGAAGCCCGCTCGCCAGCCCACGCATGGCAGCCATGCCACAATCTGATTTTTCAGACACAGACTTACCCCAGACTTTTTTTTTCCCAGTCTGATGAATCAATCCCACCATATCCCTTTGAGGGAAGACAGGAGCCAGAATTACCCACCCTAATGGCACGAGGGAGAAAACCAAGGCTGAGTGAGGATGAGGCCTCCCAAGGTCACCTAGGAAGTTACTGTTGCCAGTCGTCCCCTTCAAAGGGACGGATTTCAGGAAAGCAGGTGGGGAAAGAACTTGGCACGTGGGACAGAGGGCCTCCAGGGAGAAGGGGACATGGAAGGAGGGGAAGCCAGGCATCACCCCGAACACAGTATGTCCTCTGATGCCAGGCCTGTGCCCAAGACCACCCCTGTTCCCTTGGAACAGCCTGTCCTCTGCCACAAATGGACATGCTGCTTCCAGGGCTGAGATTTCACTCACCCAGGTGGGCAAAGACAGCTGGGGAGGACCCCTCACTATGTACCCCTCTCCCCACCTCCCTGAAGGGAAACTGCCACCGGCTCACATCTCTGAGGCAGAGAGGAGCTGACAGACCAATCACTTCCTGCAGGGCCACAGGCCTGCCCAGAAGCCCCTGAGCAGGGCTGAGCTGCCAGCCCAGGAGGTGAGGTGAGACCAGACCCTGAGCACAGGAGGTAACCAGACCCTCAGCTCTTCGGCTATTTTTAAGAGTCGCCGAGAGAGACCTGGGCTGTGGGCTGGGGAGTGGATTACCTTTGCCGTGGCTCCGTAAATAAGTCTGCCCCAGAAAGATGAGCCTGAGCAGGTCAAGCAGTGGGCCCAGCGCTCGAGACAAGATTGATGGCCCGGGGTGCAGGAGCGCAGCGGCTCGACAGCAATTCATCCTGCTTAAAAACGCCATCCCTCTTGCGGCCACGGCTCAGAGGAGGCAGCAGCCAGCAGGCGGGCTCTGCCAGGAATGGAGAAGACATCTATGCGTGTCCAAATACACAGCTCTAGCGTTTTGTTTGTTTGTTTTTGTTTGGGGCAGGGTCAGGTCCCTGAAGTCGAACACCAAGGATAGAAGATTCAGAAACGAATGTGTCCTTCCTTCTGCCCCTTCCCCCAACATGCCCACCTCAGACCCCTCCCTGATGGCATTCCATCAGAGTCCGGGGATGTGGGACCAGCCAGTGTGCCCAGGCAAGGACACACTCAGAGAAGCAGGTGTGAGAGGCAGAAAGGAAATAAGCGACGAAACAGGAAAGCTACAGATTGTTATTCCAGAGGGGGAAAAAAAGATGCTGCTCCAAACCCAATTTCACCCAGTGCTTTCTCAGTGTCACTGTATCTATTTCAACATGGTTACCAAGGCCCTTCAAAGGCCTTGCTATGAAGAAACCACCGTGACTAAAAAGAACAGCAAATATCAAGGGCTCATAGCGGGGACACCTCACCACAGGGGGAGTCACGGAAATGATATTAAGTTGATACCTGAGGGGAACCTGGAAATGAGGTGATCTGGTCACATTTTCAAAGATGTAAGTCATCTGTGCATCTAGAGGGCCCTCCGTGAGTCATGGAGGGCCACAAGTCCATGGCTGAAATCAGGCCTTAAACTGCACTTCAAGTCTGTCAGCAAACCCGGGGGAAAAGGCGTAAGCAGTTCCTCAACCACTTATTCCCCAATTCACCCTTGAGTCCCTAACAAGCCCTCCTGTGAATCCATCAAACCCCTGTCAAAATGTAAGTGGGTCTTCCCTGGCCTGTGTGAGTCCAGGTCCAAGGAAGTCCACCTGCCCCCTCCATCTACCTGCCTGTCTGACAGCTCCCAAGGCACAATCCAGGGTCACCACTGCCCGGAAGCTTCCGGCACCCCCGACCCCGGGTTCTATTTTGAGTAGGATGAGTCCCTAGAAGACATGCGTGCCCACGACTCAGGACCAAAAATCTCATGGGATCATGGGGCACGCTCACCCACAGGAGGAATGCTCACTTGGTGAACACATCCCACAACATTGCTGATGCAACCCAGGGCTCCTCCCTTCCTGTGTATCCAGGAGGGGCCCGTCTGCCTCTGAGATCAGGGCTCGGGCCTCGAAACTTCTGCTTCGTGTGCGGTGCCCAGCTAATCCCTGGAGTGGCGGGGAACCCAGAGGCGAGGTAGCAGCTCCTTTGCCTGCCCGCCAGGACCCATGGCAGCCCTCCCCACAGCTGCCAGAAGAGGAAGGTCTTCTCCTTTCTCCCTCCTCAGCCCCCTAGCCCCCCAGCAAAGTCAACAGCAACCTCTCCTCTTCCCTGGGCCACACAAAGGGGTGAAGCAATGGAGCACAAAGATCTGCTTCAGGTGTGGGAAGCTGCGGTATATAGGATGATGCCTCTCTTCCTCAGCAGGGCCAAGGGCTGAGCTGTTGCGGGAGCCTGGACACTGTCTTCCTCAAACAGAATTTATTTGTTTGTTTGTTTGTTTATGAGTCAGAGTCTCACTCTTTCACCCAGGCTGGTGTGCAATGGCACACTCATAGCTACTGCAGCCTTGACCTGCTGGACTCAGGCAATCCTTCTGCCTCGGTCTTCCAAGTAGCTGGGATTTCAGGTGCGTGCCATCATGTCAGCTAATTTTTTGATTTATTGAAGAGGCGAGGTCTCGCCATGCTGCCCAGGCTGGTTTCAAACTCCTGGGCTTAGGGGATCCTCCTGCCTCGGCCTCCCAAAGTGCTGGGATTACAAATGTGAGCCATGGCGCCCTGCCCCTCATACAGAATTTAGATCCACTCTCTATTTACTAGCTGTAAGGTTTGATTCCCTCACCTGCTTTCCAGTTTGTCCTGCCCCTCTTATGCTACCTCAGACCTGCTTTTAACATATTTTGGTACTATGGCAACCCCAGTCAGGACACTAGATCCTGAAGTTTCTCTGGTCATCTTTCCTTCCTTCCCTTCTTTCCTTTCTTCCTTGATTTTTGTATAGCAATGAGGTCTCCTTATGTTGCCTAGGCCGGTCTCGAACTCCTGGTCTCAAGTGTTCCTCCCGTCTTGGCTTCCCAAAGTGCTACAATTACAGGCATGCGCCCAGCCTCTCTGGCCATTTATCACCAAAAAGGGAACACCCCTCCACACCCTCTGATGGTAATCTC